CTGAACTGACAGTGCAGTCTGTAACCTCTCAGTCAAAGGTAAGGATACTTGTTTATCTTTTATGAACCATGAATAAAGGGCAGGACATGGTAATATCCACAGGTAAGGCATGAGGTCTGGGACAGAATACAGAAAGCTTCATCTTACATTCTCCCTGCTACAGCTTACCTGTCAGATATGACTGTTCTCACATCCAGCAGTGATGTGGTCTTCAAAGGTTCATTCCACCACCCTTAGACTGAGACACAGACTCCATCACTCATTAGCCAAGTCAATGATGCCCAAACCTCAGTCATCAATGGAATTAAAACTTTGTATCTTAGCTGTGTCTCCTGCTCTCTGAACAGAATAAGACAGCTGAGGCTCCTGGCCCAATGTAGGTGTTGGTCCTTTATAGAGGTGTACACACACAGGTCACCAGACCTAGACATCACCACATTCATGTTGTTGGACAACCACCCGCCAAGGCCCCAGTGCAATCCCTTCCCAACCTCCTGAGCTATTCAGGTGGCTGATGGAACAGGTTGCCCAGAGAGGTGGTGAAGGCTCCATCACTGGAGACATTCAAGGTCAGGCTTGATGGGCTCTGAGCAATCTGATCTAGTTAGAGATGTCCCTACTCACTGCAGGGGGTTGGACTAGATGAGCTTTAAATGTCTCTTCCAACTCAACGCATTCTACAATTCCCCAGCTAGTGCTGCTCTGCTTAATTTACTCTGCTTGTCTCTAATGAATCATCAAACACCTACTCACGCCACACAATATCGCTGCCTGTGCATTGCTGACATGGAACACAAGTGAGAAACTGACTACTCAGATTTTCTCCTAAAATCTTTTGAGGTGCCAACTCCTGTAATGCTCAAAATTGTCTATTTAAGATTCAGAAAAATTCAGCGACCGGTTTGTATAATGCTTTTTTCTCCTCCAGGTTAAACACTCACTTTAAAAGATCTTAACAGTAATCTGAAATTAATACATCCCTTGAGTTTCCATGGCAGTGTTAGACCCTCCTTTCTACTCACCTGTGAAAATTAGTTTTTCCAGAGAGTAACTACACATCAGTTCTGACACTATAAATATTGTGCATATGTACACATTTTGACATTTGAAAACTACTTTTTTTTTTTTTATAAAAATGAATCAGTATTAGATTTAGTAGCAGTAGTGGAGGTAGGAGGATCATTATCTTCTTTCCAGGATAAACTCATTCAACATCCTCTTGAAGCCAGCAGACAGTTCCCTCTATTCAAGTACTACTTTGAAGAACGCTGTCAGAGGTCATGAGAGTCACAACATGTACTAAGTGATACGCAGCGGGCACAGGGAAGCAAAAAGATGTTTTATGTTCTTTGCTCTTTTTTGTCATCTTGCAATATGCGCACTAAATTAGAAACTCTTATTTTTATCAGATCTGTATTTCACACACGTGGAGATGGTAAGCACGACAAATTAGAGAACTAGGATGATAAATTATCATTCCCTCTGTCAGCCATGCTTCTGCCCATCTAAGGCTTGAAACATTCTAAATGCCTCAATATCTTTGCAGAGATGCTCAGGGCTAGACAGACAAGACTTACCATGGTCTGCTTGTTCCATGTGAAAAATGTCTTTATTTTTAAGGCTGATTACCTTGAGGATCTCTTATTATCACTGGCATTTCTTTCCTTTATCATCTTCTCATCCTCCAGAAAGGAGCATGCATGAGAAGACACTTGCTTTTATTCTGCTACCTAATGAGTTTTTACGTGAAACAAATTTTCTGAAATGTGTTAACGCAGAATTTTTATTACATATGTCACTGCACCAATTTTGGTCACTAAGAGCTTGATAAAATAATTACTGCTATATTAGGACCTTCTCCACAATCTCGCTGATAGATAATAAGTTTTAAAAGCATTATGCTACAGAGCTTTCCTTCAGTGAACATCAAACCTCACAACTGCCTTGAAGATGAAAGACCAATTAAAAAAAATGCACATCCAAATAAATATTCTCAAACGTGCTTCCTAGAGTGTTTATCAATGGGGCTGCATTCATGTTGGCAATCTTAGCTGTGCAGAATGGGCTAATCACCCATCTTAAATTGTCATTTTGAACTTCTGTTGCCACAGTTTAGTATTTATGCAAACTCTTGCACAGAACAAGAGGTCTATCGCATTGCAGAGACGTGTAAAGATACCAGGAGAAGCTCTGCAGGAAAAACAAGAGCTATTAGACACAATTACATAGAGTTTGGCACAAACACTATTTTCGTATGTTTTGTGTAGAGCTTCTCCATTCAGCAAAGAATTTAAGAACCTAGTTCTTGATGGAGAACATCAAGCTTCCATGTACGTATGTTTTAATGTTGAATGAAAATGTGGGTAACGAAAGTAAAAAGAGACAGAGCTGTACTGCAGTCACCCAGGAACCTGAATTAGTTCCTTAGCCCAAGAGTAGAAAGTATACAAACTGTGTATTTCAGGGTTAGATTTATCAGAAGTTCCATTTCCCTGAATAATTTTAATACCTGATATTTATGGAACCCACAAATGGTTTCCCATTGCTAAGAAAAATTATTAGTACTGTGGAAGAAAAATTTTACCCTGATGAATTCAGCAAAATAGTATAGTACCAGCATTTCACATAAAATGTCATTAGTATCTTCAGGAAAACAACCACAAAAAGCCTTGTAACTGTATCCTGAAGAGACAGATGTTTTAATCAGTGATATAGGCACATTTATCCAAAATTTTCTTCTAAGCTGCGGCATTAATAGTAGCAAGAAGGCTGTGGAAAGGTAGACAGTTACAATTTTTTGTTATTCCTTGCAAAAGCTAATAGAATTTCCTGCCCAAAATAATTTTACTGAACTTAGGAGGATGCACAAGCAGGTTGTTGATTAAGTTCTCACTTTTTCACCCTCCAGCTCCTTGTGTGTTCTGCACAGCTACAGAGCCTGGAGATTCTGGGGCTGTTCAAGGATTGTGAGGAACAGTTCCTATGGAGAACTTCAGTAAAGTAAAATCAAACAAAAAATCCACTAGGTATTATTACACCAATGTGTAATTTAAAGATCTTTAAGGCAAGGCGGTGTCTGAGATCAGTATTTCCATCAAAATTCTGCCTGTAAGCTTAAACCCAGATTCTGATCTAGCCTCCAATATCTAATCTGACATCAACTGTGTATTTCTAAGAAAATAGTTACATGTTTTTTATTTATGCTTAAGTAAGTGTTAAGTAAACAAGACTGCCTCACTGAAAGGAAACATGAGACATTGCAATAAATAAATTTCATCAGATCTGCATAAGAGTTCATGATTTCAAACTCATGTTGCTTGTATACCCACTAGTTAATATTTAGATCTACCTAAGTATTAATGATACGAGATTCTCTGCCAGAAAATAAACAGTAATATTTCTGAAAAGACCAGCAACTCACACCTCATAACTGTAACTATGCAAAAACTGAGGGCCAAATCCTTCCCTGATGATATCGGCAGAATAAACGTAGAACCTGTGGAATCATAGCTGACTGGTATGAAACTATTTAATATAGTATTTTTATAGAAATAAAATAATCTTAGAATTCTATTGACATAATATACAGCCATACACCTAGGTTATCCAAACACATGCAGAGCTGCAAAACCAGTCAAATAGAAGTGGTATAAAAAGCAAAAATTGCCATTAAGAAAAGGAATTTAGCCATTTGTACAAACTAATGTTCCTCCCCTTCAGTTTGCTCTGCTTTAGTTTTTGTAAGCTAAATTTAAAAATTAGTCAACACACTGAATTAAGTATGTAGATTTTCATTTAAATAAATCAGTCAACAATTTTTTTTATAAAGTATTTAACACTTCATTGTAGAAACATAGGCAAAATGACTATTATAACCAAAATGAAAAATACTGTTCAATTTAAAAAAATGTACTTAAACAAGAACCTGAAAAAGTTTATGATATGCATAACATTGTTCAAGCAAAATTGCACTAGTATTACATAAATCAGGAGTTTTATAAAGGCCCCAATATGGCAAAGTTTAGAAATAGGTAGTATGCATGCACAATAGTACAACAAAAATCTTTTATAAAACAGCAGTTATTTTTGTAATGTTTGTACAAAGGGAATAAAGAGCAACCACAAACATATTTAATCTGTTAGGTTAATATATTATGATAGCTAAAAGTCAGTCATGTCTAGCAGAGGAAGGAAGAGTCCTCCACAATATATGTGTGAATAAGTCTTTTGTGCCTTTAAAGTTATGTATAAAATATTTCGATTCAGTTCAAACCTGAAAGAAATTGTATTCTTTATTTCCATCAAAATTAAAAAAGGTGAGTCTGATTTTTTTTCCTCTTAGCAACAACAGAAAGCAGATCAGGTCAGAGCAAGTGCTGGAAAATGATACTGATGCTTTTAACCATCAATAACGGATTTTGAAATTTAACCCAGGCTATTGAAACTCGGGCTTAGGTAAGGTTTCTCTGACATGCAATCTGGTTATGTTCTACCTCCCCGATATCACAGTTTATCTTCATTTAAAGAAAGGGCCATGTTTTGTATGCTTTAATTTCTCTAAACAGCTATGACTTTTTGGTGATTGTCAAAATTGAACGCTGTCATCATCTGTGTGTGCTTAATGGTTGGGGGTTGGTTTTATCCCTGCTGCCTGGTGTGTGTTGAGGAATTATTAATCCAAAAGTAATGCATGTGATTAAGTGAATAAACATATAATGCATGTGTAGGCAATGCCCTCTTGTGCTCTAGGGTGGCTACTGTCCTACAGGACTGTTGGAGTTCATATGGTTTGTCCCGCAGCAAGTAAGGTTTCAGCTTCCAAGATATATCATTACTATGTTCTATAAGGTTTTAATAAATACAAAGATTGTTTACATGGTATATATGTTTAGTATATCATGTACAGTCACTGAATTTCTGAAACATAATCATTGTGTTCATGCAGATCATTAGATGTTTCATTTCTATAGTCTCGTTTACTTCTTGGCAACCTAAAGCTAATTTAAAAGCAAGTTATGTTGGTTTGTGAAAAGTTATCTAGCTTTATCAGGATCTGAAGAGAAATTCTAATGGGCACAAAGAAGAGAGCAGACCATTCAATCATTCTTTCACCATTTAAAATAAACAAAATTACACACTGTACTACAGCTTCCAGACTACATAATGAAAAAGTGCAGATACCATCTTCATCGATTAAGTAGAACCAAAAAAGTTCATAGAAAATAGATTGCTCATTTTCACGCTACAAACAAATATGTTGTTTGCAATTTTAACAAATTTAAAGGTGTGTTATTTCAGCAGCATTGTTGTAAATTGTACTGTAGTGCAGTTTCTTTTTCATAAAAATACCTTACAAATGGTCAGTCAAAAGTCATCAGCAAAAGAAAAACCCAGAAAACAATCAACCAAACAAAAAACAGAGGTAATGCTGATGCCAAAACAATTATAATACTGTTGGTACATAGAAAAGTAATCCTTATATTTTATACATTTATACAGAGTATAAAAGGTAACAGCAGATTATGCCACAGTCTCCCTTATCCCAATATCTATTTTCTTTGGAAGGAGTTCTCTTCTTTCATCAACACTTGCTAAGGAGTTTCGACAGTTTTGTCCATCCATGTATAACTTTGCATACACTGGATTGGCGTAATTTGTTGGCTGCAGAGAAATTGAGCATACATTAGATTGGTTGGATTAAACCAAAATGAACGTTTATGGAAATGGAAATGGTTTTGTTAAAGCAAGAACAAGTACACATAAAATATAATTGGACATATTTAATAGATACCTGGACTTCTGCAAACCTGATAATGAGTTAATTATTTAGTTCAACATTAAATTCATGGTGAGACATGCTCTGGAAATAAATGATGACATGACATGCAGCATATGATGACATTAAAACCATAAAAACAATGACAAAAATTAGAACAAAAACCTTGAAAAATGTCTCTGAAGTTGACTTGTCCACCTTATTACACTGGAAGATTTCAGAATAGATATGAGGAAGTTTATAGAGAAGGTGCACTGTGAGACCATGTGACAAGTTTAACAGAAAACTGCAGCCAACAGTTTCCATATATTACCTGTTCTAAGACATCAGCATCCCATCAATAGCTGACCATGTTTTCGAATTCTGTGGCCCAAATATACAACATGATTTGACCAAAAATTCAATACTTTCGTAAGGTAAATTAAACTTTAATAATAAACCAGCATAACTGTTAATATATCATAGTAGTTACAGATTAAGAAGTATTTTCTCAACAATTTTGATAGTTTGGACTGTAATGATAATAATCTACTGAAATGAGTGGTATTTCAGCATAGGACAAGTCCATTTCTAGTTCTCCAAAGCCCTTCAGAATATGAGAAATCTCCTCACAGCACAGGAGGACATATACCACAGAGGAAATATCATTCTCCTATAACTCATGCTAAGAAGGAAGTACTGTCATGTAAACATCTCCACTAATTCCTTCAATGCTTTGGACCTTTATCGACCCGTAGAAAACCTCCGCTCTCCAACTAGATGTTCAGCATTTACCTATAATAACTGGAAAGGTAACTTGTGGTCAAAACTTTCCTCTTTCTTGGAATTCATGAAAGAGCACAGCTTGGCTTACACAAGTACTGAGTGGAACACCAGTAAGCTATAAAATACATAATTTGTTTGGCTGAACTTTAAATTACCCAAGCCAGAAGTGGGTAGGTTTTCTTGACTTGCAAATATCCTGAGTACACCCTGGGTAACAAGGATGACAGATATCCAGAATCTAAGTTCTTTCTTTCCCTTCTGATCAACACCATTTCTGAGCCCAGGATTCAGATATTCCTTAGGCTGCCTACCTAGGACATCTACACAGTTAAAAGCTGCCTTTTCCATCTATTAGAGGTGACAAACTGATTGCCTGGTGTTTCACACTTTCCTGGAATGGAGGCAGAAAAAATGTGAGTCACATTCATTAAAAAAAAAAATGAAGAAAGAAAGAAAGAAAGAAGAAACTAATCTTCTATATTAATGGAATATAAATATGCAATCAACTGCTGTAGTAATTATAAATTAACTGCTTTTATAAAAAGCAAACTCTCAGTTAAACTCTCAGTTCCCCACTAAATTAGAGGACCATATGATCTTAGAATGGTTTGGGTTGGAAGGGACCTTAATGATCGCTTAGTTCCACCCCCCTGCCATGGGCAGGGACACCTCCCACCAGACCAGGTTGCACAAAGCCCCGTCCAACTTGGCCTTGGACACTGCCAGGGTGGGGGCTGCCACAGCTTCTCTGGACAACCTGCACGAGCGTCTCACCACTCTAATGTGTAATCTAAATCTATCTCCGTTTGAAACCACTACCCCTTATCCTATCACTACGCTCCCTGGTAAAGAGTCCCTCACCGGCTCTCCTGCAGCCCCCTTCAGGCACTGGGAGGCCACTGTAAGATTTCCCCAGTCTTCTTTTCTCCAGGCTGAACAGCCCCAACTCTGCCAGCCTGTCCTTCACAGAGTAGGTATTCCAGCCTCCTGATCATGATTCTGGCCTTCTCTGGACTCACTCCCACAGGTCCATGTCCTTTTTATGTTGGCAGCCCCAGAGTCGAATGCAGTACTCCAGGTGGGGTCTCACCAGAGCAGAGTATAGAGGGAGAATCCTCTTGCTCAGCCTGTTGGTCATGATTCTTTTTAAGCAGTCTAGGGTGCGAATGGCTCTCTGGGCTGTCAGGGCACATTGCTGGCTCATGTTCAGTTTTTCATCCACCAATGTGGGGTGTCAGTTAGCTCAGTCAGTTGAGCGTGGTGCTAACAACGCCAAGGTTGCGGGTTCGATTCCTGTTCCGTCCCCATGTGTTGCCTGATCTAGTCAACAGGTGGGGAGCCTGGCAACAGGGAGGCTGGATTAAAATGATCTCTAAGGTCCCTTCCAGCCTAGGCCATTCTATGATTCTATGAATGTGCCTAAAGTCCTTCTCTGCAGGGCTCCTCTCAATCCTCTCATCACCCAGCCTGTATTTGTGGTTGAGATTGTCCTAATCCAGGTGCAGGACCTTGCACTTGGCCTTGTTAAACTTCATAAGATTTGCATGGGCCCACCTCTCAAGCCTTTCAAGGCTTTAAATCAAGATCTTTATATCTGTTTTAATGATTATGATCGGAAATTTAGGAAAGTAGAAATTTAGTTTTATTTCAATCGACAAGACTTTTTATTTCACTGGCAATCAATATTAAGGATGATAACCATAACAGAACAGAGACACTTGGCACCTATAGAGTATCTTATGGAGTTATTAAAATTATATATAATAGTAGGCTCTGTCTCATAATACCTCTTTGTCTGAGTACTGATAACACAGTACTGTAAGTAACTGGAGTGTCTCGAATAACAGAAAGCATTAATATTAGAAAAGAGCATATATTCCAGTTTTCATCATCCATGGTTTTGTGCTCTATCAAAAATATCCTACCCTATACAAATTGTTAAACGTCCAAATACAACATATTACAATCATGCAAGAATGCAAATGGCACGAAAGATGAATATATATATACCGAGGCACATGAAAATGAATGCCATATTGATGTCCCTTTTTAATAACATCATGCTAAATTGCAGTCAAAATCTGGTGGTTTGGAAGATAAAATTTGGAAGACAAAATTTGGAAGATAAAATTTGACTGAAAGCTGAATCAAAAAAATGAGTTGGAAATATTACAGGAAATGGTTAACTTTAATGTGTATCAAATTCCTATAAAATAAAAGCACTACTTATTTATTTAGGAACTTTTTTCAGTTTGATAAACTTCACTAAATGCCAGTAATTACATCTAAATTGTAAATATATCAAGATAGGTGGCTGTGAATGCTATGCTAAACCTATACAATGCTACAGAAAAACATCACATTGCCTACTGGTCTTGCATTCCTCTGCAAAGACACATTTGCAGTTTTAGATCATGTTACAATGATGGGAACAGATGAAATTTTGTATGATGAGAGGAACTCTTTATTTCAGACAGGAAATGCATTTTTTTACTTCCATTCCTCTTTCCATTAAAAGAAAAAAAAATAAAAACAAATAGAAAATCCCTCTATTCAAAAATGACAGACAAGCTTTCTTTGGAAAGGGGCTGTGGTGGAATGAAATGGATTTGAATCATCATTTCTCACCCCTGCTGATAGTGGTCCTTTCAAGTCAGAGTTTAGGTAGATTGATGGAGCTGTGTGGGGAAGCTTGAATGCAGTAGGCCCTCCCCCTATGTATCTGGCCTGTATAAACAGAAAAATTTAGTTTCTGTGCCGATAGAGCATTTTTCATGTGTGTTTATCAACACTGTTAAATAAACAGTGTACCGACTAAAAACAATAGAGTGATCTACAACTTAAAATAATCTACTTACAGGTATCCTTCAGTGTGAAAAATTCTTGCATTCAATAAGAGAATAAAATTCAGAATTTTAAAATTATTTTCCATTAAGGATTAGAGTCAGACTTCACAATAAGCATTGGCTCAGTTACTCTTCCTCCAGTGAGCAACTCCATTTTCAGCTCACTTCGTGCATTCAGCACACTGACCGTGTGATTCAGCGATGACATTCCTAGAGCTAACAGTAATCCAGTTATTGCTTTGTCAGAAATGCCACAGAATGATGGCTGCCCTTTGGCGGATGTCTGATTACAGAGCTCTAGGAAAGATATCGCCGCCTTACCCCGTTCATCTCATGTCACATCACTTGGGGAGTTCAATCATTGAAGAGTGGTGCTGCAGAAGTGACAGCATCTTGTACGAGAAAATGATAATACTTACTAGCTTTGTGTAAACATTTAATCTATCTGTGCAGCCAGGACTCTGAATTCTTTATGCCTTTTCAAGTTTTCATATATAAAATGTTAGTCTCATACGTATGCACAAACTCTTTCACGCTTCAGATGACAGACTGTACAATAATATATTTCCATTCAGCATTTGCAGCTAGACTAAAAGGACAGGTTGATATTTGGCAACTTAAGTCAGATGCATCTAAGATAAAAAAATCATTCTGTAGTTTAGTTTTAATGCAGCATTTGGTAAAATGCAGCACTGGAAAAGGAGTCCATTAGCAAGCATCAGACTGCAAAACAGCTGTTAACATACACATGACATTTATTCTAATGAAATCTGTTAATATATATATGACATTTATTCTAATGAAATCTAACTCGCCTTTATACTCAATAACTAAATCTAGATATCATTGGCTTATGTTTCTATTAACTACATTTAAAGTCAAAAACTGTGTAAGACACAAAGTAAGTAGCAGATTTGCCACTAGAAAGAAAATACTTACCTTTTCTGGATTTACAGTAAAATCTGAGGCTAAAAGACCACCTTCACTGTGATCATGGCCCACCTCATACATGTTATATGATGGATTGCCAATTTCCACATTGATTCCTCCATTTATAATGGGTTGTCTTCTGATAGTTTTTGTTCTATAATGAATAAAAGACATACAAAAAAGCCTGTGTCTTTTCAAGTAATTTCTTGGATGCTTTATTCTAAAATAGTACAAGTTTTATTTCTGCCTGCAGAGGCAATCAGAAAATCCTTCTGTTTTTTCAGACAACGCAGATCTCAATCTACGTGTAGGTCTCGCATAACGTGGGAGTAGCTTTTGATTGTTTTTCTCAGTTTGTCTGTAGTGGTACGCAGAGCTCACTTGCTGTCTACAACCCTGACTTCCTCCTCTTATTTCTGGATTTCCTTCACTTCTCAAAGAAATCCTTGCAAATTCGTTTCAGATTCCCTGCAGTAATGAAGACAGAGCGAACACGAGTCATGTTCTCTTGCTCATTCCTTTCACTTCCATTTGAAATCAGTTGCCCAAAGTCAGTTGTATTCGGAGGACAAGCAAATTGCATCATTACAATGCATTAAAAACATATGTATTTCTTGTAGCTCCAGTTTGTACTCCCTGCCAGTGGTTACTGGAAAGCTGAAGTCCAATTTGACTTTTTTTTCAGACTTCAATAAAAGATAGAGTCTTATTTTTAACCTTGAATTAGATATCAGTAAAGATAAGTGATTGAGTTGACTTGTTTTAGTTGCTGAATTAATTTCTTTTAGCTCAGGAGGTGATTTTAGTCTGAGCAACTGAAATAACCTCAAGAGGGTAATTGTTCCCAAAGCAATATGTTCTCTAAAAATTACAAGGGAATAATAAGGAGGTCACAATCAGGATGATAACAGTCAAGTCCTTTTGTTTATTCGAGAAAGATGCAGTCAGTGTCTGAAATGCAATAAATTAAAGGAGCTGTATTTTTCAGAAATGGCACAGAAAAAAATATCTCCTAAAATGAGCACTTATCTGTAGTGTTGAACATCTTACACCTAGTTTAATACTTGACAGCATTTGAAGAGACAAAATACATTTTCAAGCATAATTTTAGGGAAAAAAAAAAAGTTCTTTATTGATCCTGCTCTGGCAGGAAGGTTGGACTAGATGATCTTTCGAGGTCCCTTCCAACCCCTGGCATTCTGTGATTCTGTGAGATTAGTTCCACATCTCTAATAGAGATACAATCGATTATTTAACATGCTATTCTCAATAACTTAAACAATTTACAGACCAGCATCTTTTTAGGCAAAGCAGCACATAATTACATCCATGGAGACTGCCAGGGTCAGCTTTACTAACGGCATGGTCAGGGAATGTTTTTATTTTTTTGACAATTCAGAAAAGATCTAAAGATTCTTGCTTACCAGTTAGCACTAGAGCCTGCAGGGGAGATACTACGTATGATGCTAGATGATAGTAACTTAGGATTCTTTTAGTCCAGACGACTGAAATAGTCTCATAGACAGTCACGTTTGCAAGAATGGCAGATTCATCACATATTTCTAAGGGATGTTACAAAAGAAGACATTATCTTGGCTTCAAAGGTGGGGTAACGAGCCCCAGGAGAAGGACATGGCCTTTGAAACGGTGGCCAAAGCCAGAATGTCTACTGCACTCCAGGTTCATTATGAGCTCTAAGGCAGCTGGATTCAAGAGAAAAGCAGATTCACTGCTCATGCTGGAATCTGGCTTCCTATGCAAGATACTGAAGAAACACAATAGTGACAACAAGGCTTGGGATTCTACAGCAGATACTTTGAATATTGTTTATGTCTTCACTATAGCATATAAAATTAAACTAATCAAAGTAAAACAGTTGAAGGGAACTGTAACCAGAAACTGGGAATTCTGCACAGGGTCTATCTGAAATTATTTAGGGATATGAACAATATTAATTACATGGTTCCGATGAAATATTTTGCTTCAGTTCACAAAGTTCATTAAATCTCTAGATAAAAATATTAACACTTAGACAGCCTTGGCAAGATTGAGCCAACTAGGTAAGAAAAGAACTACATGTATAAGCATAAATAACAGACATGATTGTTCCAGCAAGAACTAAATCCTAATTCAGTGCAGCCCAAAAGAAGCTTTGTGGTTGGTTTTTTAGGGATTTTTACTGGCCTTTTTAACATCTATTTGATATAAAGTGTTCTTTTATTTCAAACAAATGGCACTTTAAAGCTTTACTTTTTACTTCATACATCAATATAAAATTATTTACCTTCGTTTCCTTTTGCAAAGAAATAGTCCAATTACCAAAGTCGTGATCAAAGTCACCAATAAAACAAGAGGAACAATGATTGCAATGCTTCCTAAAATAGGAAAAGGAAATCTCATTGAATACTCACAGGTACACGTAAAAATTTCTTCACAGCTATAAAACAGTTAAGCTAATTTTAAAAGAATAATTTCCCTCAAGAACATATGTAATGCCACGTGAAGAGCTTCACTGATTTAAGAGTTTAATGTTGATCATTTAGAAGTATCATTACAGATAACAGTGTACACATAAGTACTTTTACCAAAAAGTCAGGAGCTTCCTCTTTCTGGATTACCAATATACTCTGGACTAATTCTCTGCTCTTATTTGCAATGATATCGTATGGAGGGATGTGTTGAACTGCTGAATGACTTGGAGGGGCACAGCCACTGACTAACTGCCATCATCATCTTCAGTAGCTCAGTTAAGTCACGCAATGATTAATTTAAAATATTCAGGAGGCGAGGCTCTGATTAAAGAATTCCATTATTACATTTATTAATTTTATTTGTGCGAAAATGTTAAATAGGAAGCAGTATTCATTTCTAGATGGTTGGTGTATTCCTGCGTTTTACTGCATTGTACTTGAGAGCCAATAATTTTGTTATGTTGATTACAGGCAATCAAGGAGGATACAATAATGCTTAATGTAGCAGAAAAACAGCGCACAGATCAGACAGTGATGTTAAAGGGGAGGAGGGAACAGAGGAGAAGAAATGGGGCTTAATATTATTTTGGCAGATAACTTCACTGAAATTAGACTACCTGCAAAAATAAGGTTAGCAATTGTACACTTCTAAGAATTTCTCAGCTTTAATGTAAGTATCTGACAATAAATACATGCAACAAATAATTCTGTGTTATAAAACACAGGCCCTTATAAATTACAGGACTCCAGTACAAAGCTCATGTTGCGGTAGGTGCGTTTCCTTAAATACCACAATCCTTAACTGGTGGAAACCAAAAATATTGCTGGTTGTTGCATTGGTTACATTTATTGATTTTTTTAAAAAAACTACGCTGTTGGCAGTCTCTGCTCTAAATTAATAAATAAGGAATTGAAAAAGATGCCTTGAATGTTGTCTGAAGGTTTACTGAAAGCCAAGTCAGGTCGTCAGTGGCCCAAAATGAAGCACAACTGAATAAAAAGCATCGCGAGTTCACTTCGGCTTTAGAAGATTCAGCATGTAAAGGCTATTACACCAGTACTATTTAAAAGTTTCATTTCGTCTTGGCAGATCAACATTCAAGAAAAAAGCCCTCACAACCAGCCCCCCAGGCAGCCTGGGTTCTAGGAGCAGGCACGGGATGAACACCCATTTCCCAAATTGTAGCAGGTATTTCCAAAACATGAAATACTGCTCTAGGTTGTCTGGATCGCTAGGAAGACTTCATCTAAGCATCAAGCTGACCTGAATCGTGATTTTCCTGCTCTAATTGGGTTAAATGTGACCAAGAGGCATACAGGAGGGTACTATCAGCATACTCAGTGCACTGCAGGGAACCTTGTCCAGTTTAAGCTGCCAATGCTGTCCTTTTATGCTTACAGATATACTTTAAAATATATGAAGGAAGCTATTCTTACTTTCACAGTGATTTTCACAGTGGCTAAAATTCAAACCCTCTGCGGACAGCCAGTGCAAAAGTTATGAACTACTTACAGCTCTATTTTTGATGCCTTCAGTAGGATTTAAATGGTCAGAGGTCTTGTACTAGGTCTCTGCCGAGCAGCAATAGCACCAAGCACTGGCCACTTGGTACACTTTCTTCTAGAAAAGCGCAGGCTAGCCCCAGAAGCAGTGAGTGTAGAGCACATGGCTTGCACCCAAACCACCTTATGAGACACTGAATGTCAATCAAAGAGCTGAGAGAGATCTCCATTTGTTTAAACGCAGGCAACGAGTACGTTTCATGACAAACTTCCATTCCAAAATATCTCCAGCTTAAAAACTATAAACTGAGATAAAACTGACAAGTGATAGCAATTTTTTGAAGTACTTACTTGTACTGATGTTGTCAGACTTGCTGCTTTTGGGCGCGGGCCTTTCACACTGCGTGCCTGACCAGTTGGCTGAACATCTGAAAGGATCCAATTAAGATGGTAAAGTTAATAGATGTCAGCTATTAACACGCTAACCTATCAAAAGAGACCACCAGCAACTTCTCGAGAGCTACACAAATGACAACAGTGATTCTACCAAATAAACAATAAGCTTCATGGAAGAAGTCAGCAGTACTCTGCCATAAAACTACAGCTTCGAGTCTTCAGTTCCTGCTATTATCACTGCAACCTGCATTCCAGAGTCCTTTCCTAAAATTCTTGAATAACAAACAGTATATTAAATCAACTACCACCTACAATGCAATAATGAAGGAACAATCTGAGCTGCAGCTTATTTGCTGGGGCACTTTATTTGCACCACATTGTTTTAGGGTCATGTTGGATCTAGAAGCTCAAGTAACCGTGTCCATATGGCACAAAACGCATCTGACTGGACATAAACCACTACATACACCCAGTAACCCCCACTGTCCATCCCAGCTGGCTCCTCTCTCAGTTCTGCTGCCCCGCCTTGCTCCGGATAATGCAGTTTACTGCAGAATAGTTCTTACAGACCTGGTTGTAACAATGTACTTTAATAAGTGACACCTAACTTTGACTAATATTCACAAATTAACTGAATTTTCCCCTTTCTTTGCTTTCAGATTTAAATGTTTTCCTGAAAAACCTACAATTTAATGGCTTTTTAAAAAAAATTTTTTGAACTGTATACCTAGATATGTATTTGCAGAAATATAGCATAAAGAGCTGTCCTGAAAGTACAGATGCATCTACTGGCTTCAGAGGGCCCCATATTCTACTTACATTCAGAATATATGCTTCATGAGCCAGGTGCCTGGCTGAGCACGCAGTTATTCTGCTGTGATTCCCTGTGTGAATATCAATATGCAAATATTTCTTCAATTGGGATTCAGAATGGTCTCTCTGCATACAAGCAAACCCAAGGAGTCCATGGATGCAGACTCAGCAAATCCACCATAAACAGAAACAAATACCTGAATGAAATTCAATTGCTTATTCATCCTGCTGTAAGTATGATTAAGTTTACTACAGAACCTGAAACTCTCCTTGTGGAAACAGCAGGAAGGAGTCACTTCTCATCTGCTTCTGTTGCATATCGTGCAATGAACCATATTTTTTCTAAGTGTTTTTGAATTGTTTATGAATTTTAACATGGGTTATCTTTAGGAAAATGCAATAGACCATTACCTTGCACAAAATTCTAAGAACTGCTGATAACTGATGATTTTCTAACAATTTCAATTGCAGAGTTTAGTGGACAAGCTTAAGGACTGACATTGCTCTGTTAGACAAAAAGGTTTGGAAAGGTACAAAATATTCCAGACCAAATCTACAGAATTCTTAGAGGAGAGTCCTAGTCAGCTCTGCTGGTGATGTTTTTGACTCTCTTCTGTCTTTGTAGATCACTGCGGAAGAATGGCTACTTTCTCTCTTTGCTCTTAAGCATAATCCAGCACAGTGCAACATTCAGATTAATCTCTTCAGTGCGTTTAATATTGAGTTTGAATTTCTTTGGGGGGAACAAACTTAATTTTTGGTAGGGCAAGTTACGAAGGTGCTTTACTTGAACTCTACAGAGGTAAGGCAGAGATGGTCTTTAAAAACATTTATATTAGTTGCTAGTTGATTCAAATTTTTCACACAATGGATAAATTGTGTTGCAATTCAGATGTTCTTCATATTTATTGACTTAAGTTTGTTCACTAAAACAAACATGGTAAGTACACACTTAAATTTCCTCACTGTGAAGAAAACCTTCAATTACTAATTAATTACAAACCTTAGAGTTCATAATAATATATTTTAAAACTGAATCCAACTGACATTTCTCCTCCTGCTTACCATCACTTTAGCACATTCTAAGTCACGCAGGACTCATGATCTTAATCTTTTAAAAGATGCATCTGTTCCATTATTTTACAGATCTTTTTTTTAGCAGTTATACTAAATGGAAATGATTACACTGACAGTCTACCTTACTAAGATACTACTCAAGGAACTTCTTTTTTTTCAAATGATCAATATTCAACATACAGCTGCAGAATAAGCATCTATCTCCACTCTTGTATAGAAATACCATAAACCTTTATACTTAGAATATTCTACTGCAATGCAAACTGTTGACATGTGACAGTCATGAAATAGAGTCTTTACATTTCTTACTGGAAGTTTTGCATCACTGCTGTTGGAGATTCAGCTCATATGGTTAAAGCTTGTTATGAGAGGCATTTTTCATTTATTACTACATTACTGAAACAGAAAGATTTCTGTGAGAGTTGTACATAACTTTGTACCTAAATCCTTGTATTTAAGGTTTCAAATGCTTCTGCTGTATAGGACAATCATTACTATAAGTCTGTCTTAAAAGAGTTTCAAGAAGATAAGATAGGGAGTTTGGCAAAAGAATCACTGTGAAGCATGTAAGTGTAGACTCATGAGAAAATTCTGCATAATGTACAATTATGCTCTTCAAAATCTTCCAGCAGATATGACACCATAACAGCTGGTGAAGAAAGAAATCCTACAGCTATATATGTAGTAAACAAAGTAAGGTAATAATTATTAGCAGTCCTTATCTTGGAATTTTAATTGTACAAGCCAGCAACACTGAAACAATTCTGAGGCACTTGATAAATGTCTCAAAACCACAACAGCAAGTTGTCACTTCATTTTCATTTTTTCCCCGTGTTTGCCGTCTCCAGTAAACTTCACTGCGACTGAAACCAAAAGGATGGCAGTCATGCCCTTCTACACTTACAAGTAAAATTATTGCCCTTTTATGGTCCAGTCAACTATTAAACACTTGTCTTAGGCAGACAGAATAGAAAAAGAAATAAAGCTCAGAGGAAACGTATCTTGCCTGAAAGGGAATTTGACACAGAAAATTAGCCTTGAACAGGCACATGAATAATTATGCGGTTGGGACATGGACAGCTGTTCATGGAGGAACATAGGATATGAGCAGGTCTTAACCAGCTTCAATTGTCTTCAGATCGTGTAGACAGAAATTGTTAAGAGTAATATTTTTGGATATTAGGATATTATTATTATATTAGAACTGACTTCTGGTTCAATATGATGCACAGTAATTTGTACCATTCCACATCACTTGGTATTGGGAGTTTTTGTTCTGCGGCATTGCCAACAGTCAAATGGTCAGAGGCAGGACATGTGCAGTACTGGCAAACAAAAAGGCATTAACGAAGCAGAACTACAGAAAACCACTGGTTTCATTGAAGGCATTCATATTACCAAGAATTGTGAAGAAGTGACAGGGATAATGCCTAATCTGAGCTACACATAAATAAATAGAGATGGGGACAGATGAGGAGCTTGACAGTGAAGGGAAGGCTGGAGGCAGCTGGGTGATGCAAGCGAACATCTCCAGGTTCAAACCTCCAGCTCCCAACAGAACCAGAGACCAGATCAAAGAGCAACAATATCATTGAGAATTTCAATGTAAAAACTGAAAGCGAATATAATAAATAAAGGTTGTACATTGCTTGCTGTCAAGGTCATTAATAAAACCGTGCTACAGTTCTTTGTTCTACGTGTGGTTCTACATTTAGAAAGAGATTACTACTTGGGAAACATAACCTGAGATACAGAATTATTATTTATTCCGAGGAAATAGTCTTACAGAAGAAAGATTTTTTAAAAAAAATTTTAAACTGAAATTGTGATGGTGTCTAACTTACAATGAGGAGTATTTCAAATTAAGATATTGACACTTCAGAGATTGATTATGCTATTGTTACAGAAACTATTCATGAGAGAAAATGCCTCTCTCTATTTTAGTATAGCCTGCACAGGTCAGTGCACTGAAACATGCTAAACTCAATTACATGGGCACTTGACCAAAAGGAACTATAAAATCTCTAAACAAATAGAAAAAAAACTAGTAAAAGGGGCAATTTGATGGCAGTGTGCAAATTTTTTTTCTTTTTTTTCCTCTTTTTTCCCTTTTCCTGTGCCACAGGCATTGTCATATAATATACAATATAGCAGTTAAAAGTGCTTTTGTAGACAACTGCTTTTCAACTCAATATACCAGTGTGTATAAAGAAACATGATAGAAAGCTGCACGGAAAGATTAGTCTAGAAGTATAACAGAATTTGTGAAACAGACATTGCAAAATAGAGTGGAAGAGGAATTGAAAGTGTTTCTTATGTATAAATTATATTTCTTCATTACAGAAAGTAATTTTCTAACTTCACTATTCCTTTTAGTCACAACATAGTTAGTGATGTACAGTAAAAAGAGTGTAATGGAAGTATCCAGCCTCACTATTTTAAGAACACTTACATTACAGTTTCACTGGAACATTTCTTATCAGTAATATTAAAACTATTTGTAAGTTGAGTGAACAGAACATCTGGATTATAGTTATTTACTATCTGTATTAAATTGCATTGAAAGATAAAAATCAAAATCCCTTTTTCCCCTGCTAAACTCCATAGGGTGACACAGGATGGCAAAATCCTTGCACTAAATCACTCAACTATTGCTCATAATAAATTTAGTAATACTTTTGCAGTTCTGCATTCTTCATACAGGGAGCTGATATTATAGAATTATATCCACAGATAAACTCTCATGGATACAAAAAATTTGCATAACAACAAAAACCCAAAAGTCCACCTTAGCTTTGAAAACTAGCACATTTTGTACCTTCTCCTATATTGTAGGTTTTAAATATTTTCAAATTGTAATTTTCCCATAATTATACATGAACAGGATACATTTTAGTATTTTTGTCTCATGAGCATCACTTCGGTTCTTTCTAGGGAACACAAAGTGAAGGAATCTGATGTAGAATCTAAGTGATAGAAACTCTGTAACACAACTTGAAAATGAAATCCAGATTACCTTGTAATCCAATAAATTAAGAATAGAAAAATGGCATAATCCAAAAAGCAGGCAAAACAACAGAAAATTACTCTCGAGGAACCCAAAGAATCTTAAATTTAGGAACAACATACATGAAAATAAAAA